ATCCTTTTCTCCAGTGACAAAAGAAAACACACACATAAAGATAATCTGAAAACAGTCTGGCTGTAGCTGCCTCGGCCACAACACAAGGACTGTAAAACAAATACAATTTATTTCTTCCAGTTCCTATTATTTTATAAAAATAATTTTATATAAATGCAGCAATGCAACAATAGGAATTCAAGAGCACAGCTTTGAAGAACACTGCCCTGTTTATAAGAACACACCTCTTTGCCCGTGAGAAAGCGAGACATGTACATTCTCTTTGTGCCATCACACTCAATCCTCTGTGTTACCAATTAAATAACTCACAGATTCTCAAAACAAATGCTTTAAAAATATCAACTTTAAAATTATTCAGGTTTTTTATAATAAGAATTACAGATTATTTTAAAATTAACTAAAATATCAGATTTTATTAGTTTGTAGATGGTCATACACATTTAATGTTAAAAGGGCAGTGGGTGTAATTGATTATTTCTGAATAAGGATGCTCTAAATTTATACAGCAGATAACATAACATACAACAATGTGACTCATATAGATAATTAAAGTGAAACAAAATTCTATTATTAAATTACCTTCACAGAATGAAGACATGTTCTTGAACGTGAGAAAAAATTAATCATGCTAAAACCTTCCAGAAATGCCAGGTGCTGCAGAACAGGAGCTGAGATGCCCAAGCCTTTCACAACACCCAAATGACTAGATTACGATTTGCCTTCCTACATGACTGCAATAAAGTGCATTCAATTATGCTTTATCTGACAAAACCACTAATGCAAGGTACACCTCTGCTGAGTGGACACTGCCCATTATAACAAGGTACACCTCTGCTGAGTGGACACTGCCCATTATAACAAGGTACACCTCTGCTGAGTGGACACTGCCCATTATAACAAGGTACACCTCTGCTGAGTGGACACTGCCCATTATAACAAGGCAGTGAATTCCTCCAGAAGAGAAGGAACTATGTGGGACTCATGGAAGAAAACACTCATATTTCTTGAGTACAATGTCTAATGAAATCAGTGATTATATGTGTGGAAAATACAAAATATTAAACTGTAAGAGTGATAAAGAGAAGTCAAATGTGAAACATTTTACTAAGAAACAAATCAGAATGTGACAGCTATAGTCTTCAAGTTGAAAAAAAGTGAGTGAAATGAAAAATAAAGTGGTGGTCCCACTGCCAAAACTACCCCTTCTTTTCTCAGAATCAGCTTATTCAATGTCAGAGATGATCCTTCAAACAAGAGCAGGGGCTGAAAGTACTACTGAGAGCTAAGAATGCCAGCTTATTTGATTACATCCAACACTCTTGAGAGAAGATCACAGGTAAGTACATCCTAACTCAGGCTGGCGTGGAACCCATCATCTCTCTGCTTAACTTCCCAATGCAGAGATTAAAGTGTGCAACATGCCCAGTCCCCCAGGGCACCCTCCTGCTGCACATTAAAGAAGGGTGTGCACACAGGCAAACCCTCCAGTGATGGAGAGGTTGGAGCTCCCCATGCTGAAGTAGGCCAGGAGATGACAACACCATCAACAAAGAGAACAAGACACACTGGAATGGCACTTTCTCTTTTAGTCCCAGGCACATGGTGACCTCCCTAAGTATTTACTGGGTATCTAAACAACAGCCTTGATTCATGCTGTTGCCTGAAAGATAAACTTTCAGAAAATAACAGTGATGCAGGCAATTCTTTTTGTTTGTTTCTTTGAGATACAGTCCAATGTGATATAGCCCAAGCTGGCTTCTAATTCTATACATTGCCAAGGATGGCCCTGACTCCATCTTCCAAGTTCTAGGATTTCAAGCATGTACCACTGTAACTATTGCAAATGATTCTCACTTGACAGTAGAGCATATTGATTTTGAATGGCAGAGAAGCAAATGGTTTGTCTTATAAAAGATAGCACCAAAGTTACACCTTGTCCCATAAGGCATGAGCTAATTTTGTATCTAAATTTGAACTTTACTTAATTCTCTTCTATTCCCTGCACCAGGCTTACCATCTCTTATTGCCCTCACTGGTAAGTTAAATAAATAGTTGGCAATGCACTTTTTCATAGTTTTATGAAAACTGTTGTAATTTTTTACACTATACACTGACAGTTTTGGAATTCCCACTGTGACGATCAAGGAGACTCACCTTCCAGAACTAATTGAACAGAGATGACTCATATGCAATTTGTGAGCTGTTTAAACCCATTTACATAACTTTTTTGACTCACAAAGTATATATTCTGAGAGAGAAAACTCCATTACTTTTTCCTATTTCTCTGTGGTTTATTTCCAATTCTGTGTGTGTGCTTTTGATACTAGATTAAGTCTGATCTGTTATTCACTTGGACTGTAACTTAGCAACGGCAGTAATGAATGGAGTTTGGGTTTTGCTCTCGACATTGGGTGGCATTTATTGGAAATGACAAACCCCCCAAAGCTGGCTCATGGATCTAATGTCCACTGGTTGAGAAGTAATAGACAACATGGTTATTAGTTTCCTGTTTGATTCCATGCTGAAGAAACAGGCGGTTTGCATTTCTGTGTCTGCACAGAACATAAGGCTGCACAGCTAGGATAGCATCTAGACGCTGACTCTCTGCATTTGAGGAGAACTCTTACTGCTCATTTTGAATGTATTTTAATAATGTCTAACAGTCCTGAAAGCAAAAACAAAAAAACACCTTTTTCTCTTTAGTTTAGAAACTAGTGTTAGGGCTGGAGAGGTGGCTCAGCGGTTAAGAGCACTGGCTGTTCTTCCAGAGGTCCTGAGTTCGGTTCCCAGCAACCACATGGTGGCTCACAACCATCTGTAATGAGATCTGGTGCCCTCTTCTGGCCTGCAGATGCACACGCAGACAGAACACTGTATACATAATAAATGAATAAATAAATCTTTAAAAAAAAAAGAAACTAGTGTTATTTAAACCACAATCTGAGAACCTTTAAAAGAACCTAAGCACCTAAGTGTGTATGTGGAGGGGTACAGGCCCATGAATTTGAATTCAGGAGCCTTGGAAGCCAGAAGCCTGGGACCCTCCAGGAACTAGAATTATACTCAGCTCTGAGCAGTCAAACATGGGTGCTGGGAACTGAATTCAGATCTCCTGCAGTAGCTCCACATCTTCTTAACCCAGAGAAATGTTTTTTATGTGAGAATCCAGATTCAAAGAAATATGTGCTAGACACACCTGTGATCTCAGCATTGGGAGATGGAGGCAGGAGGATCAAGGTCTCTCTGAGCTAGAGAGCGAGTTCCAAGACAGCCTAGACTACACAAGACCCTCTCAGAAAAAAAGAGAAAGCAAACAGAATACAAATCAAGATTCACATGATCAACAATACCGAAACAGTAATATTATACAAACTGCAGTCTGATTACAGCTGAAATAACTTAGAAAACAATCAGTCTCACTGGCAAAATACAGCATTTCTAGGAATAAATCAAGGGTCTATACTTTTCTGGATTATGAACATCAATGAAGAGAAATAATTTCACAGAAATAAAAATATGCTAGGCAACTAAGTTTGCAACATCAGAGCAATGTGTTGTTGTCTCAAATCTATCCCAAAACATCACCAAACTAATTTGTGGAAATGGACAAGCTGACTTTAAATTTACACCGAAATAAATGAACATAACTGTGCAAGACTTTAGAAAGAGAGATATAAAAAAATAAAAATAAACCCACTCCACTAGAACACAAGATTGATAGCCAGGTACCAATAAGTGAGGAACGGGAGCATGCAGGGATAGACAGGCTGGTTAAAGAGCAAGCTCAGAAGCATGGCCTCCCTCTCATAATTCCAGCCAGGACAGTTTGGACTATAAATCCTATTTTGCCCACCAAATCCTATTTTAAAATAGTGAGCCAATTTCCCTTAATGGGGTAATTGATACCATACTCTTAGATAATTTTTAGTTCAGTAAATTCTATCAGAATAGAAGCAGGAAAATAAAATGGGTGACTAATTCAGACTGATTATGAAAATATTTTTTTCCCAGTAGAGGTAAATTTTGATAAGAATCTTCTTAAGGAAAAGTAATATGTAAATGAAAACTTCCAACTGTGAGCAGCATACTCTGGGAATGGCCAGCCAGCCTGCAGAACCAAACAGCAAGGTGAGCTACAGATGTCCTTGGCTGTGCAACACCTGGTCCCTGCTTCATCCCAAGACCAAGGTTCACACCCAGCAGAAATCCACAGGACACCTCACTGCTCTCACCCACCACTGTTCAGCTGTGAAAAGAAACCAAAGCAGTCCTCAAAAGTCCTCAAAGGCTTGCTTACCTTTGCTCTTGGTCCCTGAGTGCCTTGATCCTGGGTCCTGGCAGGTGGTTTGCCTTTGTTATGCACACTTGGGATGACCTGCCAACACCAAAGAAAGGGGGAAGGGAGGGGAGAGAAAGAGAGATGAGCTAGCTCAAATTTCTTCTAAACTTGGTACCATGGTGCACACCCATAATCCTAGCAGGAGGATCCCAAGTCTGAATGAACTACACAGTGAGCTCAAGGCCACTCTGGGGGACACAGTTTCAAAAGAAAACAAAAGGTGGTTCATACCTTTTTTTTTTTTTATTGAGAATAAGAAAAAAAAAGTTTCCGCCTCCTCCCAGCCTCTCATTTCCCTCCCCCACCCCACACTCCACTCCCCCACCCTCTCCAGTCCAAAGCGCAGTCAGGGTTCCCTGCCCTGTGGAAAGTCCAAGGTCCTCCCCGCTCCGTCCATGTCTAGGAAGGTGAACATCCAAACTGGCTAGGCTCCCACCAAGCCGGAACATGAAGTAGGATCAGAACCCCTTGCCATTGACCTTGGCTTCTCATCTGTCCTCATTGTTCGCCATGATCAGAGTCCGGTTTTATCCCATGCTTTTTCAGTCACAGTCCAGCTGGCCTTGGTGAGCTCACAATAGATCAGCCCCCACTGTCTCAGTGGGTGGGTGCAACCCCCGTGGTCCTGACATCCTTGCTCCTGTTCTCCCTCCATCTGCTCCTCATTGGGACCTTGGGAGCTCAGTCCAGTGCTCCAGTGTGGGTCTCTGTCTCTATGGTTCATACCTTTAATCCAGCACTCCAAAGTCAGAAACCTGAGGATCTATTTGAGTCTGAGGCCAATCTGGCATACACAGCAAGTTCCAGGGCTACGTACTGAGACCATGTCTCGGGGTGGGGGGAATATCCCCCTCTCTTTCTGGTTAGTGTGGTATGGGTGACTTTTCTCACTGTGTAGCTCAGATTGTTCTAGAACTTGCTATGTAGTCTAGGCTATCCTCAAACTCATCATCTTCCCAGTTCGGGATAAGAGGTAAGTGCTATGGAGATGGGGGCCATGTATTGGGCTTCGATACATTCCTTTTCGTCTATTTGTCTATTAGTTCAGGCCAGGCTTGGCACTAAGCAAGCTCCAGTCTTTGTTTCTGTGTTTTTAGACAGTAAAGACTTAATGAATCTGGTGACTTCATCTCAAAGTAAATAGATGAGAAGTTCAATTCAAGGCAATCGGCAAAAGTAGATAAAGTGGAGAAAGTCTGCATTATAAAATCATGTCACCAGACAAATAAAGATTTGTGTGTAAGGTGAAGACAGAAAACTACAAAGCTAGACTACTGTCATTTAAATATCTAATTCTGCAAAGGAAGTTTCAGTGGTGACTTAAGTGAGATGTTAGATTATAGGATCCCTCATTTATTTGACCTCTGAACTCCCAGCAGAAATATGTTATTTAGCAGACTTCATGGACTTGATAATTTTTATCACTGGTAGCAGAAGAACAAATTACAAACATTTCTACTATCCAATGAGAGAAGAAATTGGATGATTTTTTTTGTAATCTCTGTGGTGTGCAGACAAGGTCTGATACATAGTTGCATTCACTAAGTATTTATTTATAAAAGAATAAAGTTTAAACTTATTTTTTAAATTTTATATATTTATTTTTTATTGCATGAATGTTTTGCCTGCATGTAAGTATGTGTTTGCTGCAAGTGTGCCTGGTCCCATAGAGGTCAGAAGAGGGCATCAGATCCCTTGGAAGAGGAGTTATAGGCAGCTGCAAGCCATTGTACAGGCGCTGGGAACTGTATCCAGGTAGTATGCAAGAAAATGCAGTTCTACCATGCTTAGTTAAAGGTACAGATGGCTTGTCCTCCTGGTTCTTCCTCTGCAGCAGCTGCCTCTGGCATCTGGCTACTAATTCCCAAATAATGTCTCTTTGTAATGTTATCTATGAGACACCATAGGAAAATAATAGCATTTTTAGTGTTTGTTTTCTTTTCTAGTCCTAGAGATTGAATCCAGAGCCTCATCCATGATAGGTACTCTACTCCTAACTACTAGTAATGGTGGTTCATATGGCCAACAGAAATAATTATGGCATAAAACCTGATGGCTGACATGAGGTGCGAAAAAAAAACCCTTTCCAGAAAATTGAAGAACTGTCTGTCTAGAGAGCATTAAAAACAAAACAAAAAAATTACCTACTTTGAGCTAAATGCAAATGACATTTTACTCAATTTTACTCTACTAAATAAGCAAATTCAGAATTAGTCAGGTCTCAGAAATGTTTCACTTCAATAAAAACACCTGTAATAAGTTCTTCAAAAGACTTATTTTTATTCATATGTATGTGTCTGTGTGTATGTGTACATTTGTGTCCATGTGTCTGTGTATATGTCCACGTGTCTGTGTAACTGTGCAAGTGTGTGTGCATGTCTGTGCCCTCAAAGGCTAGAAGAGGGTGTCAGATTCCCTGGAGCTGGTGTCACAGGCAGTTGTGAGCTGCCCAACATGGGTACTAGGAACCAAACCTGAGTCCTCTGCAAAAAAAGCAAATGCTCCCAGCTGCTCCAGCTCCAGCAGAGCTTCCTAATCAGCATAGTGCTCCGCACTTTGTCTCACTCACAGACACTAACAACCTGCAGGAGTATAAGGTCACAGCCTATGGGCAGGCGGTTCTTGACAGACGCCAGAAACGGCACAATCTGGGACTACTTCCGCACATGTCAAAAGCAGGCCGAGATAGAAGGCATGCGAAAGCTGTGATATGAACATTCAGTTGCCTCTCATGATGTCTACATTCTGAATAGAGAACATACTATTGCATATGCTAATCACCGGCAAAGCTCAGAAGATAAAATGCTCACCAAAAGCAATACCTCCTATAGGAAAATAGAACACCATCTATTTCATGTAACAGTGCAGTGAAAGATGAATTTTTATGGTGCATATACCAAAAGAAGGGCACCGTGCTGAAGTCATGTGATAAGGAAGTACAGCCAGGGTGCTGGAAGAAAGACAACAGCACATCATACTGACTCACATAGCTGTATTCAGTAAGTGCTTAGAGATGAATGAAGTTAACAATGCTTAAGGGATGGCTGAGGAGATGGTAACAATTTCAAAAGGGTTTTTTGTTGATGGAAGTGGGAGGGGCAAGGATAAGAAAAATATACACAACGCTATTATCAAAGGTACTTGTTATTTCATGAGAAAAAGATTACCTTGGCATAGAAACTTCCCAAAGAGAAATGCAGTAGGAATGAACCATAGGCTCTGATGACAAATGAACAATTGCTAGGCGAGGAAGGGCTGTACACACACAGCTGGGATTCAGAAGTTCAGAAAGGGATGTGTCTGTGCTAGTTCTGATGTGGCACATGAACTGCTGTATGGTTGATGGTGCTGAGTTTTTCAGCACAAAAACACTTTTACGTTATAGTATTAGGAAATCTTTTAGAGTTCTGAAGAAAGTGCAAAATTTAGTGTGAATAGGTCAAAATGTTTAAGATATCTGGGCAAGGTGGCCTACACTTGTAGCCCTAGCTACCGACATGGAAGGCAAGAGGTCAGGAGTTTGAGGTCATCTTGGACAACTCAGAAAGACTTTGTCTCAAATAAAAACTAGGGGCTGAAAGTAGAAAGTCCGGGGAAAAGTGCTAGTTAACATGCGAGAGACTCTGGGTTTGATCCCTAGCACTGCAGATTCATTTAATAAAATTAAATTTGGAAGGGTGAGGATGAGTACAAAGTTGCTCGGGAGTACAATGCTGTCATGGGTGAAGCCCAGAGTTCCATGGTTAGCACAGCGAACTAGAGAAAGCAATGAAACTGTGAAAATATTCTCTGCACCTGCCAACCTCCACCCCAAGACTTGTGGCAACAATCAAGCCAAAGAACCCTTTAGCAAAGGCTTGAAATTTGATTGTGTCATTGTGCTGAACCAGGTTAAAAGCAGAGCAAGCCAAACTAGTGACTAACACGATTAGTTACCATACACTCACAGCTGGAGGCCAGAGGCTACAGTGTGGCACCTTGCTTTGCTTCCTGGACCAGATGGCATGGGTATGGAAGGATGTTCAGGAGATGCTCCTGTTTTTAGTGGTGAGTTTATGTCACCCACTGAAAACCTCGTATCTCAACTCACTAGTGAAAGCTACTAGAGACTCGACATTTTTAGTTGAATCTATAACATATTCAAATGTTCTAAACATTTTTCAACTGGGCATTTATGGCGGCCACATAATGTATATCCAGGATGAATCATTTTCACTCACAAGTGTTTATTGGGAAGTACCATTTGGCAAGAACAGTATGGCTAAATTTCCTGTTGAATGCAGTTCTAGAAATAAAAGCAAAGTCACAGTGCCATTCTCAATATTATAAAATACAGTTTAAAAACAACCCCAAAAAAGCCTAATTGAATCTCAAATCATAAAAAATGAGAGGTCTCAGTTGGTCTTGGTGGGGTGAGCAACACACTATAAGGATGGAAGGCACAGCGGTGGTACACAGAAACTGTGACCACAGCTGCAGACCACTATTCAGAAACTGCATGCAAAGTACCCCATTAAAGCTGGGGTGCTAAGACAGCTGGTGACCCACTTGCCCTGTTCTCCACACAAGTATTAGCATCTGTAGTCTCTGAAGGACGACATTATAGTATTGAGACACAAGAAACACTAAAACTGTGTAGTTTTTCTACTGTTCAGAAGTACACGTTCTTCCAGTTCTAGGATTCAAGCTACTGAGAAATATACAGCTGCCACTGATACTTTTGTGTCAGAGGTCTGATTCTACTTACGGGAGTGGTTATCACAAGAACACATGGCATCTACAACATATCTCTCTTTACAGATCCAAACATATAAGCACATGACGGCTCCTCTACAAGGTTTTTATACCTGACCCTTTCCAACTTCAAAATAACTTAGAAAATTGATATAGTGCGTCGCTGCATTAGCAGAACCAGCAAGTAGGCAGGACGGGACTAGGAAGAAGACTGCGTGATTCACAGGTTTGTTGAAACTAATAATGTATGGTGTCATGACTCAACTTTGGCCAGCAGATCAAAATTGGGTCTAAGAGCAGAAACTGAAGGGAAAAGTTAAATCCGTACTGAGTTACTGTCTTTTCTACTAGTAAAGCCAAGCCACAATGAACATGTGGGAATACTGGGGGACAAAGGTTAGCACGGAGGTGAACAGAACAGGCGTGTACTGACCCTGGGGGTAGATGACAGGCTCTGTACCACAAACACCACGGGGTTGCCTGCGTTCTTGATGGCCTCCACAGCTTCTGCATGCGAGGCATTCTGCAGGTCTATGCCAGACACCTAAAACTCACAAGACGACACTCTGATTAGAAAAGCACCAGATTATGCACAGGTTTGCTCAAGTTCATGTATCAATCATCCTGTGTGTGAGAAAAGCCAGAAACTAATGAGCTAGACCACATTCAGGAAATGGAAACAACTACAAAGGAAATGCTCTACTTTTTCACAGTGTGATTCAGGAAAACCATGCTTTCACCCAGGGCAGGGCAAAGCGGACAGTTCCATTATAACAATATTTCCACTTTCATATAATGACCCTGAGCTGGAAGCTGGTCAGGCTCCACACCCGGGAGGTCTCTGCTATTGCACAGGGTTGTATGTAACAGAAGCTTTATTCAGAACGGAGTGAGGAACCTTCTGAACTTTTACTGTATTTCCATTAAACTGAGGGTTAAACTACAGTGCAGAAACTGAATATTTCCCAATTTGTGTTAACAAAATAAGTGTACAAGCATGCACAGGCTCTTTTGCTTATTATGGAAACTCAGAGAGCCTAACTTGCTAGCATCTCCACAGTTCTCTAAGAGCACAGAACCAGGGTTTCAAATCAAATACAGAGCAACAACTTAATTGTGAGGTGGGTTTAGTCAGCGGGGCGCTGAGTGCTTTGTTTCAAAGGCATGAAGAGAAGGATGGAAGGATGAAGGCAGGAGTTCCCCTAGTGGACCCCAGAGTGACAGATGGAAATGGTTGATGCTGGGAAGGAGCTAGGGACACACTGCAACACCAAATCCTGGTTCTTCTCGGCTTTAGAATTAGAAAGCAGGAATTCAACTGATCACATGAGTGAAGACCTACTCCTCAGAAATAAACCCCGGCTTCTTAAAGAAGATCTTGTTATGTACCTAAGTCTATCATGTAATTGCTTAAAAACAACTGTTTTACCACAGACAGACAGAACTCATCATGGGCTTAAGTAAAATCAAACGAAATAAAAACTTTATAATAGGAATCACAGTAAAAGAACAAACAAATGAGTCATTACATTAGATACAATGTATAATAAAATGTAACTCTGAATGCCACTGTCAGCTTGAAAAAAACTAGCAGATAAGGCGGAAAAATAATTTTATTTATTTAAAGATGTGATTTATTTGATATGTGTACATATGTCACATATGTGCGGGTACTTGAAGATACCAGAAGAAGGTATCAGATTCCCTGAAGCTACTGTCATAAGCTCTAGTGTGGGCAACATGACGAAGGTACTGAGAACATATGAGGTCATATGGAACAGAAGTAAGGGCTCTTAACTGTTGAGACACCTCTCAGATTCCTAATTTGTAGAAGACAAAGCAAAAGGCCACCAGAAAGCAGGTGGAAGGCATGCTTGAGAGCTTTGCTGGAGAGGATAAGCTCATGGAAGCAGACACCACAAAGCCAGGACAGAACTGCAAAACAGAACCACAATGGTGTACCACTGTGTTCCTATTAGAATGGCCAAACTGATAACACCACCACCAGATGACAAATGTGAACAAACTGGATCATTTACTCACGGCTTATAGGGATATAAAATGGCTCAGTCACTCCCGAAGATAGTTTGATAGCTCTATTTAAATTTATAAATGAACTTAACATGAAGCCCAGCAAGCAACATTTGTACATTTTCCAGAGAAATGAAGACTTGTTTGCATTTGGTAATTACACACTGTTTGGTGACACACACCTATAATCTCGGCAGGAGGTAAAAGTGGGAAGAATAGGAGTTTAAGGCCAGCCTCAGTTGTAAACAGGTTCAAGGCCAAGATGGGCTATATGGAACTAGAGATATCTACTCTGGTATCATTCAACAAGCCCAACACACTTTTAGTGTTTTCATGTCCATTTAAAATTTATTTCCCAGGACTAGAGAGCTCTCTTAGCAGTTAAGAGCATTTGCTGCTCCTACAGAGGACCTGGGCTCAGTTCCAATCACCTATATGGCAGCTAACAACCAGTTTCCAGAGTATCTAAAGCCTTTTTCTGGCCTCTGCAGTCTCCTGTACTCACAAGATACACATAAATTCATGCAGCGCTCACACATACACATACAAATAATAAACAATCAGTAAATCTTTAAGCTAAATAAGATTTGTCTCCTATAAAACTAAACACCTGTGACCCATGGACCATGTGATCTATCCCCTTCAAAGGTCAACTTCTTTCTGTAGACAAGATACAAGAACAAACGCCAGAACTTGCTAAGGGTTCTGGGAAGCAAGTGTCCACCTGTTCTACATGCAGTGCAATGCTAAATGCTTCAGTCAGCTGGGGTTCTGGCCTTAACATTTTACTTGCTCTCCCCTCCCAAGCTAGAGGAATTCAGATAGTGTGCATACGGTATATAAACTAAGGCACCACAAAAGGACATTACCAACTGGATCCAATTATACATGAGGTTTGCCAAAGTGATTCTTCTTCTGATTCAAACGTTTCAAGTTAAACATTGTTTCAACTTCACTTACCTCAAGTATTTTGTCTCCAGTTTTAAGTGCATGGGTTTTTCCTGCAGGACTATCTTCTAACACTTGTTTGATGAATATACCCTTGAGCTCCTCTCCATTCTTTAAGCGTTTTATAACTGTTTGTCCACCAACAATGCTGATACCAAGAGACACGTTAGGTTCTCTAAAAATCTCAACACTGTAAAAGGGACAAAGAAGTACACTCATGAATAAGGTAATTTAACTTGCTATGTTGTCACTTTAAGTGCTCCATCTATTGCACAGCCCGTGGCTCATGTTTTATTAAAATTTCCTAATGTACTTTAAAGATTTTATATAAATGCTAGCCCAAATATTATAAGACACTCAAAATTTATGACATGTAAAAGTTTAAATTTTGAAAAGATGAGACTCAGGGATGGGTTAGCTAAGACTCAGCGTGCCTCTCTCCTATCACTGCACCACCAGCCATTTCACCCCTGTGCACAACCTTAGCAGGGAGACTCTGAGCAAATAACAGAATAACTGAAGAAGGCACATATTCATTTTAATAAGGCCTCAGCTTTTCAGAGTAAAATAAACGTGCTAGAGTGGCTCACAATCCACTGCTTTTCCCAGAGAGGGTTGAGGGTGAGGACCTCTATAGAAGGCGAACGGTATCTGCTTTTAAAGCTAAAAGAGTTTCTTTGCTTTTGACTTCTGCATCATTGTTTCTGCTTGTTGGCTTTTGTATTTGAGATAGGATCTTGCCGTATAGCTAGGCTGACCTTCAATTGGCATTCCTTATGTTTTGGGATCCCAAGTGCTAGGACTACAGGAAAGAGCATCATATCACTTAAACAGCCATACAAATACCCAAACAAATATTTGCTTTTATCCAAAGACACTATAAAAAGGAATATGAAATTAGTTCCTATATAAATTTTGCTTTAACTACAGAAGTATGACTAGAAGTTAACTCAATTTAAAATATTACTCAGAAAATATGTCTTCAGAGTCATTAAGACAAATTTGGGAATTGTAAGATGATAGGTTGAGGGGTGTGGAATTAACACAGCATAAAAACAGAAAGAGGCTACTGAAGGACTTTAATAACCATAAGACTCTGGCAGCCTGACAAGTACAATATGTGCAATCAAATGCAAGAGAAGATGAGTTCATTCTGTGAGCCCAAACCAGACACAAATGCATATTCTCCACGAGGAGAAAGGGGAGAGAGAAGCTGGTAGGTGAGAAAAGCCTCAACTACTGTTTATAGCCCTGTAGCACAACCTCACTTATAACTGACACATGATAAAGCATGACATCCATCAGGGGCTACTCTCAGAGCGACATTTGGAAGGTGATTTCTCTGAGACAGCATCAAAGAGTTATTACTGGCTAACAGTCTTTAGCCAAAAGAAGGGATTAAAATTTAGCATAAAGGATATTACTTATTTTAAGTCTCAATTACAGTGTGACTAAGTGTGTTAGTCATGGTTTCTTTTGCTGTGATAATACATCAGGACCAAAAAGCAAGTTGGGGAGGAAAGAGTTTATTTGGCTTAAACTTCCACATTGCTGTTCATCACTGAAGGAAGTAAAAAAAAAGAACCCTAACACGGCAGGATCCTGGAGGCAGGAACTGATGCAGTGGCCATGGAGGGGAGCTGCTTACTGGCTTGCTCCCCAAGGCTTGCTCAACCTGCTTTGTTAAAGAATTCAGAACCACCAGCCCAGGAACAGCCCCGCCCACAATAGGCTGAGCCCTTCCCATCAACCACTAATTAAGAAAATACCCTCTAGCTGCATCTTATGGAGGGAATTTCCTGAGGTTCCCTCCTTTCCGATGAAGCTAGCTTGTGTCAAGTTGACATAAGACAAGGTAGCAGAATAAAAAAAAAAAAAAAAAAAAAACCAAAAAACTGGAAAAAAGAACAAGGGTATGCTTGCACTGAGGACAGTAATGGCATACACTCACATTCTTGGTGGACCCCAATGGCTGAAGTTTGGTGTTTCCTCCCCTTCACCTTCCTCTCTCTCGGGTAACTCACTGTAAGGGGAAACACAGCAGTTATAAGACACATTCTTATTCTTAAAAGTTCTTGCAAGTTCCAAAATTCCATGTTCTATAGGTAATTAATTAATTTTTAACCTTTTTAACGTATTCACATCAATAAACTGACAAAGCAAACATTCAATGCTTTAATAGTAAACATAGCAACCCCCCTATAGCTCCAGGACATCACACAATGATTAAAACCTTGTGAAACATGAAGCTCTTTTAAAAAACGATTGCCTTTAATTTCACATTTGCAATGTCATCAATATATAACAGCCTTCTGTCGTTCTATAAAGAGTCTCACTTTGTAACCCAGGCTGGCAGTGAAGATGCATTGATCTTCTTGCCTCAACCTCCCTAGTTACCATACATAGTAATGGATTTCACAGTGACACTGCGCATATGTCAGACATGTGTCACACACGCCACACACTCTGCTCTTATTTACCTCCCTGTCAAGCTCCCTAGTACCTTCCTAGTGGTCCTACACACACAGCGCTCCCCCAGCTGCTTTCATCTCATGTGCACTCTGTTCTGTGTCCCCTTCCCTCCCTGTGGATCTCTACCTCCCTTCGCAGTAACCCTCCTAGTTTGATCTCTGTGTGTCACATGCACACAATCAAGTGTAGACAAATGTATCAATCTAAACCTAAGCTCCGTGTGAGAGGGAAAACATGCCATACTCATCTTTGAGTCTAGCTTATTTCACATTGCACCGCAATCTCTAGTGCATCTATTTTCCTGCAAATGTCATTATTTCATTCTTTACAGCTGAACAAAAGCCCTTGTGTGTTGGTATCACATTTCCCTTAACAGTTCCACTCTTATTGCACACTTAGGCTAGCTCTATAAATTAGCTGCCATGAATAGTGCAGCAATGAACATGGATGTGGAAGTGTCTCTGTGGCATGCTGACTCAGAACATACAACATATATACTAGCTGCAACATACTGATTTCCACAGTTGCTGGACCAGATTAAAGCCCCACCACGGAGCACAAGGTTCCTCCTTTCCCACATCCTCACCAGCATTGTGGTTTTCTTCATGACAGATACACTGACTGAATGAGATAGACACTCAATGTAATTTTACTTTGAAATTTCATCATGGTAAAGAATATTGAAGAATATATTTCCAAGTGCTTATTGAACAACCTTATCTCTTCCATTGAGAAATACATATTCAATCTATTAGCCCATTTAATAATCAAATGCTTTTGGAGGAATATAATTTTTGGAGTTCTTTATAGACTAGAGATTCCTGTATGACAAATAGCTGGGAAAGCTATCCTGCCATCCTGGACCTGCCTCTTCTCTCTGCTGAATGCTTCCTCGTCTGTGCAGATTTTTAATTTCATGTAGTATCATTTGTGAATTCTTAAGGTTTCACCTATGCCACTGGGGCCCTTTTCAGTAAGTCCTTACATACACACACCTGGAATGTCCTGCCAATGTTTTCATTGAGTAGTTTTAGACTTTCTACTTTTACATCATGGCTTTTGATACAGTAATAGATTTTGGTGCAAGGTGAAATAGGGATTGAGTTTCACTCAGTTCCCTAGTACCTTTGTTGAAGAGGCTGTCTAGATGAATGGGTGTGTCCTACAAGGCGTGTATGGGGGTCAGGGAACAAGTTGTGGGAGTTGAGTCTCTCCTTCTGCCAAGTGGATCCTAGTATTGGATTCAAGTCTTTAGTTTGGCAAGGGCCTTTTACCTGCTGGGCCAACTTGTCAATGTATTTCCCATTTAAAAAATTTTCATTACATATATTTGATATGTAAGGTACTGTGCTATCTGCTGATATCTTCATAAAAGGGTATAAGTTGGGCATATTCCCTTTAAGATTCCCTACTCTGCCCTTTCTTACCTACTCCAGTTAGTTCCATTTGTTTCTCTACACAATCAGACTTCTACTTTCTTTTATTGCTTTTTCATTTTACACACCTACTACAGTTCCCTCTCCCTCCCTCCTCCCATCACCCTACCCCCTATCCTCTCCCCAGAAAGCATAAGGCCTCCCATGGGAGTCAATGAAGACTGGCACATCAAGTTGAGACAGGAACAAGCCCACCACAGGGAATGGGCTCCATAAAGCTAGTTCATACACCAGGGATAAATCCTGGTCCCCCTGTCAAGCCCCACGCCCCCCCCCCAACAAACAGACCAAACAAACTGTCACCCACATGCAGAGGACCTAGTTTGGTCCCATGTAGGCTCCTTAGCTATCAGTCCAGACTCCATGAGGTGCCATGAACTCAAGTCAGCTGTCTCTGTAGGTTTTACCATCGTGATCTTAACCCGTCCTTGCTCATATAATCCCTCCTCCCTCTCTTCAACTGGACTCCAGGAGCTCAGCCCAGTGCTTGGCTGTAGATCTCCACATCTGTTTCCATCAGTTACTGAATGCAGGTTCTATGGTGACAATTAGGGTAGTCACCAATCTGATTAAAGGAGAAGGCTACTTCTGGCACCCTCTCCATTATTGCTAGGAGTCTTAGCTGGGATCATCCTTGTGGATTCCTGAGAATTTCCCTGGCACCAGGTTTCTCCCTAAGCCTATAATGGCTCCCTCTATCAACATACCTCTTTCCTTGCTCTCCCTCTCTGTCCCTCCCCCACTTGACCATCCTGTTTCCTCATGTTCTCATCTCCTATCCTCTCCCCTCTATACCCCACCACTCCCAGTTTACCCAAATCTTATCTATTTCCCCTTTGGAGGGTGATCCATGCTAGACTTCTACTTTCAAATGATATACAGATATGAGATTTTATATATCAAAATAAAATCTAGAAACTATATAAAAGAGAAAATATACATTAATTGTTTCCCTGGTTATTCAGTTAATAGCTCGGGGTGCTTCCAGTTTCCTGCCAATCACTGTAACATGAGGGTCTTTTTGTTGGGGTTTCTGTCCCACCCGGTCCCCCAGCTGTTTAGTCCCAGAGAAAATCACACAGAGAGTCTGCATTAATTATAAACTGTTGGCCCATTAGCTCAGGCTTCTTGTTAACTCTTGTAGCTTATATTAACCCATTGTTCTTATCTATGTTAGCCACATGGCTCAGTATCTTTTTCAGCTGGGTAGGTCAAATCCTGCTGATTACATAACCTCACTATTCTCTGGGGTTGATAAGAATTCCACTGTATGTATTCACCACATTTTCCTCGTTGGCTTCTCTGCTGCTTGGCAGTGAGGCTGATTTTATAATTTAGCTACTAGGAACAATGCTGCAGTAGACGTGGAAGTGCAAGAGTCTCTCATGTGCTGGCTGAAAGTCCACTGTGCAAACACCTACGACTGGCAATGGTGGAAATCATGTGATAGATCTTTTTTTATAAAGACGTTGCAAACCCAATCTCCACAATGGCTGGACTAGCTCCACCATTAGAGCTATATAGAGTCTATGCTTTTCCTGGCAGCATAAAGTAAGGTTACCTTTGTTCAGATTCTCATTAGTATTTATTCATTTTTCTTTTAAATTCCAAATGCAGATCTTCCACCTCAAGTTAATCTTGAGGCTCTGAAACCTTGTTTAATTTACTATGATTTAATCCTATCATTATTTTAAAACAACCAAGAAAGTACTACACTCAAGTATTTTATTAAATTCAGCAAGGTTCCTGAGGCCACGAAACAATCAATATATTGCCATTTCCATCACCAGCTCCTTTGGACAATGGCACTGCACCAACCTGTTTATGTATTTTCTCCAACTTCACTGACAGTTGATTATACATCTTCACACACATTTTTATTTATCCTGTAGAACTACCTACTTTACAGGGAGGAAACAAGGCTGAAGGGAAACTCTCTTAGTATCACATAATCATAAAGCAAGAGAAGGAAGAAATGAATGACACCTATAGCACTGTGGACCCGTTAGTCTGACCATTGGCACCATCCACACGCTGTGGATACCTATATGTCTTCAAGTATCAGATAATGGTAAAAAGGCTAAAGTCAGATTAATTCTAAAGATGGGCTCCCAGATGACCTTAGAAAATGAGAAGAAAATTAGGATAAGTTTATCTGGGTCCCCTCTGCAGTATCCCCGTCCCCAGAAATGTCCGGCTTAAGGCATCTCCACATTTGAGATGTATACAACCTCTTGATAGAAGTTCTACTCCCGAAGGTAAGAAGCTACAATTAAGGTGAAGACAAAGTACATGGAATATCACAGCTACTAGAGCCTTGGCTTCAGCACATGTGAGCACAGACAGACCTCTGTAGAGTCTACCCAAAATTAATAACTAAATTAGAAAACTTAAAATGCCATTTAGTATCAAGACCACCCTTTTGAAATAAGGTTCCCTAGTGGAGAAAATAGTTACCTGTGAGCCTCATGCCCAAGCCTTGCCTTTTCATATTAGGAAAAGAGAGGAAATACAGTTCGCAGGAGCTCCTCTGAAATCTGCTGAAATTTAAACACTTTCCAAATCTTTAACAGTAAACCCAAAGCCAACACTGAAATAAAAGACTGGTCTCCTGAAGTAAAGGTGAGCTTTCAGTCTAAATGTCTGTGCCTGCCTCTGCCTCTGCCTGTCTCAGTGCTCACTTGAGGAAGAAAAGCCATGGGTAGCAAAGTGCATCTGCCCTGTGTGAGGCGGGGACAACTAAGCAATGCACACCTACTATGTACAAAAGAAAAAAGCTTGACCTGTGTTTAGATCTCTTCTATTTCTTCAGTTAACAAACTCCAGTTTAGAGAAAACACTCCACTTCTACCAAATTCAACTAGCAATGATGGAGGAAGGTCATTGGTTAATTAATAAAGAAACTGCTTGGCCCTGATAGGTTAGAACATAGGTGGGTGGAATAAACAGAACAGAAGGCTGGGAGGAAGAGGAAGTGAGCTCAGACGCCATGCTCCCCTCTCCTGGGCAGACGTGATGAAGCTCCAACCCAAGATGGACGTAGGCTAGAATCTTCCCAGTAAGCGCACCTTGGGGTGCTATACACATTATTAGAAATGGGCTAGTCCAGGTGTGAGAGTTAGCCGAGAAGGAGGCTAGATATAATGGGCCAAGAAGTGTTTAAAAGAATACAATTTGTGTGTTGTTATTTCGGGTAAAGCTAGCCGGTGGCGGGAGCTGGGTGGCGGAATGCATAGCAACACTAAGAACAAGAAAAACTAAATGACCAAAGGCAATTCACTGACATGTGATTAGACCACATAAAAAGTCATAAATTATGTGCTCAGCCCTTCCACTCTAAGGTATGTTTCTAGGAAAAAATAACTATTGCTGATTTATCCTTGTGTTTCCTTCTGTGTGCTGCCCTGCATCTGCATTTATATGTATATACATACATGGATATCATCATATGTAATAAAATGAAAGTAAGTGTGGGGAGTGTGTGCATGTGTGGATACACCCTCTTTATCTTGAATCATCTGGGCACTATGCATTTTACTAGCCTTATTGCATGGCCAGGATTCTCAACATTACTCAGTTTCTGCCATGTCCAACTTCTGACCTTTCTATTCCATGCTCAACTCACTGTTTGATTTGTAACCAGCACCAAAACAATAACAAGAAAACACAGACAAAGCTGCCCTGTGCTTATGGAGCCTCGTGGAAATATTTCTCTTGGCGTTTCTTCTGGCCTCTCTGTAGATCTTCTGTTTTGCAATTTTTCAACTTCCCTACACCTTTTCTTTCCTCCCCTACTTGAGTTTCCCTGGATGATCCTTCAAATCTGGGAGCTTCATCTATACTTGACCATGTTCTCAATGACTTGACAGAACACACATTAATCCCAGATTGATAGATCCAATCCACTTTGTGGATTTAGGGATATTTTAATCCCAACATGTCCCCAACTAATCCGATAACTTTCCTGCCAACCTGTTTATAGAGCTTTATCTGGTCAAAGAATTATGTCCTGCTATCTAGCTTTCTGCTCCAGAACCATGAATCTTATAAATTGTCATTAGACGATACTCCCTGCAGATTCTCTGATGCCTGAGAGTCTGCACATCCTTTTGTCCTCAAGACCACTTGCTGGCCTGTATAGAATCCATTTTGTGAATAAAAGTATAAAATTCTATTTGTGACCTAATTTCAAGAACTATAGAAACTTTTAATAGTAATTTTCTAATGCATATTTAGTCATAAGATCCCTTTGTATTTTCTACATGTTACATTAATCATGCACATTTTTGTAAACAAAAGCCAAACCAGGAACTAGCCATAGGGGGAAGGGAAGGCAAGGGAGGGTCTGCAGGGTAGGAAATGAGAATAAAGGGCAAAGTCACATATGTAAGAAAATGACAAGATGAAACATATTACCTCACATGACAACTTAATGGTAGTTAATAGTAAATACACTACTCTGTATTACTTAATACCAGCTTTTTAAAGGAAGAAGAAAAATGATATACCATGCAGCACTCGCATATCTTGAAGACACCGTTCCTATGTACGATGAAGGCCTGGAGGCAACCCGGGCACTGGGGAGTCGGTACAAAGGCAAATCTTCTTGCTCCCTTCTTTGAGTAGCAGCTGGAAGATCGACAAGCATGTCAGGACTTTGGGCATCACTTGGAATCATCACGCCTGAAGAATACAGATGATGGGAAATCAGCACACAGTCAGTCATTCAATGCACTTTTAAGGATGCTCAATGTAGGTATGACCCTCCCAGCTAGGAGACGGATGGCATTAAAGTACATAAGGGAAAGCCTTAATGCCCAGGGCAGAAAGCACCGCTGAAAAATGAAGCAAGGAAGGTGCTGAACCAAGAAAGGTAACATTTCCAGTGTGCCTCATGGGAAAACAAACAAGTGAACAAAACTAGGTACATTAATAATAAAAAAAACAGCACAAAAAACTCTCTTATGTTTTCTAATCTTACTGCAAAGCTTTCCTTTCTCACCCTAGGCTATTCTGGTCATGGGTCCTCTGGCATTCATTATGACCCCATGGAATAACAACTAAGTAAGAATTACAATTTGAAAGGTTGTTTAGAAACTTCAGAATCTATTTTTTCTATCTGTTGACTCATTCTATTTTTACAGATAATCTTAAGAAAGGCATTATTAACTATATTTCATGAAAGGGCAAACTCAGGTTAAGGATTTTGTTAAGATTAGTCTGTGTATGTATGTGCAAGGGGGATGCACACATGCTACAGTGCATGTGTAGGTCAGAAGACAACCTTCAGGGCTTGATTTTCTTAGGTCATTGGGCGTTGGGGCAAGTGCCTTCTCTGCCAAGCCATCTTGCTGGCCCAATCTATATACCTGTCCACTACAGCACACATTGCCATAATTTGTTTAAATGTTTCCCTCTTTTAGGTCAAGCTCTTATTCTTACTTTAATTCACTTATGTGTATGGAAGAGAGTATGCATAGGTGTGCATCGATGAGTCCATGGGTGCACACTTGGGAAGGCAGAACACGACATTGGCTATCTTCCTCTACCACTTTTGGCCTCACCGTCTTGTGACAGGGGATCTCACAGAACTGGAAGCTCACTGCTTCAGTTAGGCCAGTCAGAGAGTGCTCAGATCAGCCCATCTCATCTCTCCATGCTGAGATTACAAATGCATATGCCCAGCTTTTTACAAAGATTTTGGAGATTTTAACTCAGCACACTTTCTCTCCCAGCGAGTCATCTCCCCAGTCCCTTACATTATTCCTTTGTCTGTTTTTTTTTTTTTTTTTTTTTTTTTTTTTTTTTTTTTTTTTTTTTGNTTTTTGAGATAGTGTCTCACTATGTAGCCCAGGGTAACCTCAGACTCACAAAGACCTGTCTATCTCTGCTTCCCAAATCTTGGGATTAAAGGTATGCCCCCACCATGCCCTGAAAAGATTTTTTTTTTTTTTACATTATGTGTATAAGGGAGAATATGTGTGCCCACAGAGGCTAGATGCCAATCGAGTCCCTGGAGCTAGAGTTATAGGTGGTTATAAGTAACCCATTTGTGGTGAGTGCTGAGAGACAACTCTGGTCCTCTGTAAGAGTAGCAAGCACTCTTAACCACTTAGCCATATAGCGACCTTTAGTTATTCTTAATTTTTAAAATGTATTTTGTGTGTTGGGGGGACAGTGTACATGTGGCAGTCAGAGGACAACTTTCAGGAGTGGGTTCTCTACTCCATCTTGTGGAAGGCCTTGTGTTCCTGCTGCTGCATGAGCTTCCAAGCAATTCTGCTCTCTCGCCTCCCACCTCATCACGGGAACACTGGGATTACAAAGGCATGCCAATGCATCTGGTTTTTCACTTGAGTTTTGGCAATTAATTATTTAAGGATGAAATAGCAAGTGCTTTCACCCAATTAACCATCTTGCTGCTGTGTGTGTGTGTGCACGTGTATCCTTCCTTTACTATCACTTACATTGTTTATTTTGCATGTGAATTTGTGTAGTGAGCATTCATGTATGCATGTTCACACGTGCAAATGTGCTTATGTGTTCATGTATGGAGGCCTGAGTTTGATGCAGAGTTTTTCTTGATCACTCTTTACCTTTCAGAGTCTGATTCTCTTTCTGAACCTAGAGCTCACTGTTACAGTTAGTCTGGCTACACAGCCAAGGACCCTACTGTCTTTGACTGCTAAGCACTTGAATTAAAGGGGGCTGTCACACCTACCTGGCTTTCACAAGGTTCTGAGGATCAGAACCTTGATCCTCACACTTGTGCAGCAAGCACTTTACCCTTCACACTACCTCCCCAGCCCCAGGCTCTTCTCTGTAATTTTGACTTCTATTTAGAAGGACCCACAACCTTGAGGCATGTTGGTAAGGGGAGAGTAACAGATTTGGACTCCAGCAAGAGGCAGATTCCGTGTGGGGCTTGGGATGTGGTTCAGTTGGTAGAATGGCTGCTTGGCAAGTGTGAAGCCCTGGCTTTGATCCCTAACACCACATGAGCCAGCTGTGGGGTGCACCCCAGTAATCCAGCACTCAGAAGGAGAGGCAGGAAGATTAGAAATTCACAGTAATTCTCAGTTACATAGTTTGAGGTCACCTGGCCTACTTTCCAGAGAGCAGAGTAATTACAGACAGAAAAGCAGCATGGTTGAGGAGCTGACTAAGAACAGTTCTGTGCAGAGTGAAGCAGGTGATGGGAATCTAGCAAGGTTCAGCTGTGGGGAATTTTGCTGTCCCAGGGAGGAGCCTGACTTTGCTGTGCCAGGAGCTTTCCTTAAAGCCAGTGGGGACAGCCTCCATGGGACCCATGAACCATTGATTGAAGCAATCTCCCTCTATGACACTCTTCTTTGTAATTGTATTCTTGAAGAAAATGTAAAATGCTGTAAATTATGAAGTGTTAGTTGAAAGCTCACACATAGGTAAGGAGATAAAATGCTACTTCATAGGGTTGCATAACAATAAATAATGCAGCACTTATCCAAATGATATAAAATATGATACATATTTTCCATCAAGATTATTATTAGGGACCATGGTCAGTGGGATGCTGCTTGCCACCAAGCCTTGCAATCTGAGTTCAATCCCTGGAACCCGTGTGACATGACAGAAGGAGAATACCACCTCTGACTCCCATGAACAAGCATGAGTGTGCACGTACACAACATACAACTGAAAGAAGCCTGCAACTGAAGCTTCTCCAGTAGATGCACTTGCCCTGCCTGCCCTGCCTGGCCTGCCTACTGTGCCCCTGCATGTCCAGGTCTGTCTTGTGGGCCCCACTACCCTCATTATGCTGCAGAGTTCTTACAGAGACAACAGGGAACAGATATGAAACCTCTCTCCCATCCTGAACTAGGCTGTCGGGCTAGGGTCCAAACCGCTTCCTTTCTACCTCTTCTCCGTGTTCCTGCCTGTCACACCCTAGTCCTCAGGCAGGCTATGCAAGTGATCTACCGCTGTGCCTGTGCCTCAGCCTCCTAGTTTCTTTTATTTAATGGAGACCTTTAGTCTGGACTCAAAATTGTTTTATCTGTACCAGAATCCAACATAAGGACGTCCCCTTCCTGAAATGTGTAAGACAGTCCAAAACGCCACCCATGTCCTCTGTTTGCTCAATAAAAGAATAAGAAGGCAGACTGAGGAGCTGTGGTCTGTTTAGAGGCCTGCACCCACATTAACATTGGTTTATTCATCACTTCAGTACATCTAGGGACCCAATATAAACTCACGGCCAGGCTGTCCTCATGTTTGTAAGAGCATGAGGAATTTTACCCCAATTGTCTTCCTTGAATCTGTTCCTATCGTGTTTCAGATGCTTGACTTATCAGAAAAGCAGAACTGACCTGTCAATCACAGACTCTGCACCATTTCTTCCTGTGAACATCAGCCACACTTCACCTTGAACTTTAGTAAATGACCACTCCTATTGCTTTTGATCTTGTCCAGAGACTACAAAGCAGGTCTAATCAAGTGGCAATGCAGCAGAGAGGGGGTGACTAGAACTCAATCATGCTCAGTTGCCTTTCCCATCCCCACACCTTCATTGCCAACTTCTGGGACCTCATTTCTGTGTGGTAGTCAAAGCGATGCCCGTCAGCTCCAACCGCCTGTACACCTTAACTGAATGGGTGGGTAAGCAGAGGTGGAGCAGAACCCCAGGCAGCGACTGTAAGTATAGCAAAGGCTCCACTTGCCAAGCAATTTCTCACCATCACTGCTCTGCTGTGCAAGTAAGTGCCGGTCAGTCACAACTCCTCAAGCCTGGCCCCAGGCCATCTGCCCACTGTTCCTCTCTTGCCTTTCGCCGGCACACAAATGCCCACTCCTCACCTCGTACAGTACCTGTCATATTCTTTACAGAGCTGTTCACCATGTGCTCAGAGCACCCACCCACCCACAAAACAGATCATGTACAACTGTCAGTCAATGGCTATAATGGGCACAAAGGTTATAAAATCAAGGAGGTGAAAAAAGGTCCCTAGAAGTTAATGCTTATAGAAAAGGAATGGAGAAATTTTTCCACACCTTTATACTTGGTGAGTGCAAGAACAGAATGGTATGAAGAAAAAGCAAGAAGAGCTTGAGCAAAGAAAACAGGTGGTTGCATAATTCAGCAAGACAAACACGGAAGGTGATGTGTTGAACAATTACATGTGAGTACCATGCTGCCTTCTCACTTGACAGATACTATTTCTGTGCACACTGTGGTAACAGAGCCAGCGACAAGCCTCACCCCTCAGAAACTCAGCATACAGCAAGAGATTGGCCTGGAGATGGACAGAGGACAGAAACCCCTCTGGAGTGGGCAGCACGATGGAGATGGAGCGGTTTCCTCCCTGGAGTCTTGGAACACTGATACACTGATTGTATTCCTCATTTAGAATTCATCTTCCTGCCTTTCATTATGAATTATGTCCGTTTACAAGTTTGCTTTCACAATCCATGGAGAATGTGAGTATGCTAAAGAACAACATTTTGTTGGCATGCTTTTGCTGTTGTTTCTTCTATGTTGGTGATGAGGCCATTATGGCTCTATTACCAGTGAGTCACATCCAAAGCCTGAAGTCACTATTTTGGATTAACCACAGGATCATGAACAGCCCATTACACAAGGCTATCAACACATGATTTTAAAATTAACTGTCCTATAAATCTGAGATCATTTGTTACAGATAGAGTGCACAATTGAATACAAATCTGAATGGGGCTCAGAGCTTCTCAGATCTAATCTGACTTTACAACTGAAGAAAGAGGGGCTTGAAAAAGGTACTAGAAGATTACCAGGTTAGTACAAAGGAGCCTGGTATTCAAACAGGGCCTTTTATTTGCTGAGTAAAGTTCTCAAGAGAAAAATACAAAAATGAATGGGATCAACTTAGTACACATGCTGCTGTGTCAGCCCATATCAATATCTTTTTAGCCCAGCACGGTGAGCATCAATCCAGTCATGCCTGTCACAGCACTCCCTGATGTATGTGCTTATGAATGGTTTCTGAGCAAGGGCACATCATGATACATAACTTTAACAACAGTCCCAAATGATATTCTTAAGAACAACTACCTAGCGCCTTGCAAAATTGGATGGTGTTCCTACAACTCCTCTCTGAGAATCTAGTTTACAGGAGAGGGAATTCCATTTTCTTCAGTAATTTAGTAGCCATTGAGGAGTTTCCACGCTCCTATAAATAATGGCCCACCCATGTTTCTGTAAGAAAACCTAATGAATTTTAATGAATCACTGGGGAAAAAATGTCATGTAAGTAGAAAGGAAAAGTTGGAAAGATGAGGATCAACAGGAGAGGGGGACAAGAGAGTAATGGAGGTGAGTATGACCAAAATCCGTTGCACATCAGTTTGAAATATCCTAATATAATCCATATGTATAACTAATACACACCAAAAATATTAAATGGTATAGATCTTTTGAAATGAAGACCCAAAACCTGTGGAGAAAGTTTGCTTTCATGCATAGTCACGCAGACATATAGCTGGAAGATTTGATCTAATGGTAATAAATGATAAAAGGAAGAAGGGAGGGAGGAAGGGAGGGAGGGAGGGAAGGAAGGAGGAAGGAAGGAAGGAAGGAAGGAAGGAAGGAAGGAAGGAAGGAAGGAAGGAAGGAAGGAAGGAAGGAAGGAAAGACACTATGGCTCCAAGCAGTGCTGAGACACTTATAAAATAGTAACAGTGAAGAGGCCAGTGTGGTCTGTATACTCTTGTCATACACTGTGAACAAGTAAGTATCATTGATCAAAGAACCAAAGAAATGGGAAGAACTTTAAAAGGTAGATTTCCTATAGGTTGGGGAGAATAAAGCTTTATTTTCTCCCAGCTATGAGCCTGAAAAACTGCAGAGACTCGTGTAATCATAGGGTTCCATAGTGCCTGCTTTGGGCACTCACAGGAGCAAACCAGCATCATCACAGCACAGCTTTCTCTAACTGCCTTCAGGGCTCCATTCTGTAGATGCCACTGAACACACTTGTGACCTCACACCAAACTGTCTCCCTTACATGTCTGATACGTGCAGTGTTAACACAGAGAGCTTTTCCGAAAGCAAAATCTAACAGTGAAAAGCACCACAGATCCTGAACAGCTCTGAGTCCCTGAGGTGGGGACTGAACAGCCTTACCATAATCTCAATAGCATGACAACAGCCAGCATTTCACTGTTGGAGGAATAAAAAAAAAATCTTTTAAAGTTGAGGCTTTAAAAGTATATAAAAATTGCTATTCTAGAGTGGCAAAGAGAGGTATAATACGTTCAGAACTTTTTAATGGAACCTAAGTTATTAATGTACTAGAAACAACTATAATTTATGATGAAGAAAATGCTTCATAAATGTTTAAAATATTCACCTCTTTATTAATATTTAACAGCCCCATTCAATGAGCTAGCAATTCTACTTAATGGCACTGGAGACTTTAACATATATTGGAGAGACGTAGTTCATGTAAGGGAGTAGTCTCCCTTCCAATCTGTGCTGTGATACAAAGCAGAATGGGGCATAGAATAAGCAGCCATCTCGGTACACAGAAATTGAAAGATCCAGTTGAAATCTCAGCCAAAGTTGCTCTGAGTCAGACTAAGTGATAAACAGTTTTAAATTTGAAAGATCATAATGAGGACATGGAAGGGATTGGAGGGAGAGAAAAGGAGGAAACAATTTAATTATGTTTTAATTCCAAGAGATTAAAAACAGCATGATGAATGTAAATGTGACAGTACAATGCCCTGCATATAAAGCACAAGGACTGCAAATAATCTAACTTGTGTATAAGAAACAAACCCACAAACCTAAATCCAGGCTGTTGTTTGTTAGTAGATGAAGATGCTCCATGTCATCAAATCTGCTGCACTGACCATTTCCTTCAGAGGAGGGCATGGACTGCCGCGAATCAAGGCCAAATGTTTCTTCCATCTTGAAAGAAAGACAACCAGAAATTCAGCATGATAAGAAGCAATGAGAACACCATAATGTTGTTCTAACCAGGCAGCAATACATGGAAAACTGGGACTGCAAGTTTCTGCACACACCACGTTCCCCAGGGGGGCTATCCTGTCAGGAGCTGCAAGTGCTGCATGAGCCCACACACAGACACCTGGATAGTTAATAAGTTTTGGTTTTAAGCATTAACAAATGGATATAAATGAGCATATTCCAGCACAGACAAATAAAAGACCTGGCCATCAATCAAGTCAGTTGGTCCTATATAGCATCCTGGACACCACAATGTCATTGCTATCTCTCAGCTTTGGCTCTATTTCCCTAGCACTCTTGGTTTGTTTGGTTGCTGTACTCATTCCCCCACCCCCACCCCCCAGATTGGGTCTCACTGAGTAGCCCAGTCTGGCCTTGAACTCTCAGCCTTCCAACAACTGGATTATAGGTGCACACCAGATGCCTGTCATGTGGATTGAACTTAAAGACTGACAACCACTGCTGCTGACTTAGTGTCCTTCTCTCCTGTCTTCCCTTTATGGGCACGCCATTTACAGGGTTTTAAAGTTATATTCTGTTTCAGTGCTGTAACACTTGTGTCTTCCCCAAAGTTCTATGTTAAATCAAAACACTCAAAGGGGTTAAATAGTGAGATACAGACCTTAAAGTGAAGGCAATCGAAACACAGCAGGTACAAAAAAATAGCTTTAACTTTGCAGCTGTTTCTTACAAGAAGACAGAATCAGAATCCCTTTGTGAAAGACAATCTCCATGAAGGAAAAGGGAAAGCAACATTTTCGTCTTCAAGCATAAAAACCGAAACCTTAAGCCTCCGCCTAACACTAAGTTATACTTTCACAACATATTATTTATTGGCAACTCTATATCTCAGTAACTGACTCTATAGCTTCTTTGGTTCTTCCCTTATGGGGCTCCCGTGCTATATAAACTTGTGATATAAGTATGTATTCTTTTCTCTTGTTGATCTATCTTAATGCAGTTTAACTTCAGGGCTCTGCACAGTTGGAAACAGGATCTGTCTGTCCCCACAGCTCCCAAGCAGAGATTCTAGGAGGCAGGCCTCCAGCAAAGTGATCAGGTCATGGAAGCCAAGCCTTTATGAAGGAAATTGGAGACATGAAAGAAAAGGCCCAATGAAGATTTCTAGATGACTCCTTATAGAAACTTCTACTTATAAACCCTAAATTGAGCCCTTCCTAAGCATCGAAGTACTGACACATTGGCCTTAGATCTCTCAGCCTCCAGAAGGTAAGACATAAATTTCTGATGTTAAAAAGTCAGTTCAGTAAATGGTATGTTTGTTATAGCAGCTCACAGACACAGATACAGAATATAAATCGTCATAAATTTGAGTATAAATTGAAAGTTTATACTCACTATATAAATATATTTAACTAACTTAAGTGAATAGCATTTTGTAAAAAGCATGTTTGGTTTTACCTTTTGCATTCAGAGTTCAGCTCTATAAGCCTAGATAACCTCAATTTGTGATACTCCCACCTCCAAATCTTGACTGTTGGAATTACAAAAATGTACCACCATGCAGGGTACCACTGTTTTTTATTGTTGGAGATTTTAGATTTTGATGGTTCAAATAAAAATGGGAAATTTATATTTTCTTTCCTTTTTTTGTTTTTTGTTTTTGAAACAGGGTTTCTCCGTAGCTTTGGAGCTTGTCCTAGAACTAGCTCTTGTAGACCAGGCTGGTCTCAAATTCACAGAGATTTGCCTGCCTCTGCCTCCTGAGGGCTGGGATTAAAGGAGTGTGCCACCACCACCCAGCCAGAAGTTTAGATTTTCTAATGATCTACTTTCTATATAATTAAAGTACTCAGACTTCAATAATAGAGAAGGCACACTGATGGAATGCTAGGCTAATTCCTGGCAGCTTTCCCAAACAAAACAACTCATGGTAACACAGAGCCCAGTGGAGCTGACAATGTACCAGGCAACTCAAATATTACATGGAGGTGACAAGAAGTAAGGTGTGATTGTCTGTCTGACTGGAATAAAAGAAGCAATAACTTCTCAGAGAGGGAAACAAGGAGATGGAAGGCAGTAGCTAAAAAGAAAGGAAAACATTTTGCAATTATTTGATATGGTCAGTGGCAATTCTGTTAACGGTAACTGGTAAGTAAGAAAAACCATCCCAAATCTGGATTTCAGTAAAGCAGATCTGGAATTTTATGTTTGTTTTATGTGTTTGGGTATTTTGCCTGCATGATCTGGGCACCTTGGTGCCTGCCTAGTAGGTACTGAGACTGAGCAACCAGTGCCCTTAACTGCTGAACTAGCTCTCCAGCCCTCAGTAAAGCAATTTGAATGGCTGAATCTTTAGAAAATTGAATTTGGGTTTTTTTATAAAGAGAAAAAAAATGAATATATTGCCATTCTGGTAAATAATCCTGAAGCAAAAAAAAAAAAAAAAAAAAAAAAAAAAAAAAAAAAACCAAAACACACCCACAAACAAACATAAAAAAACAAGACCTTTAAAAAATGGGCTGATGGTTGCATTGTAGGTTTTTGCACAGAACATATTGGGTCAATGAACACATAAAAACACGCTTAACATTACTAATCACTAATTAACAAAATTCAAATCAGTCATAATAAGGTAGGTGTGGTGGTCCACGTCTGTAATTTCAGCTCTACACTCCAACACTCAAAGAGGTCTAAGGCAAGAGAATGTAGAACTCACAGCCAGCCAGCGCTGTTTTAAATCTGAAATGTCCTTACAGGCCATTAAGGCCTTAAGGAGGCAGGCCCTGGCTGACAGCAGCTGATCACTAGGGAGGAGTGTCAAGGGCTCCAGCCACCTCTGGCTCCAGCCTGTGTTTTCTGTTCCCTGTTCACACCACCACTGAACAAGTTCCTCCCACATATTCCTGCCACCAGGAACTGTTCTCACCATTGTGCCTTCCCTGCTATAATACATAGGTAGAAATCGCTCTGAAACCACGAGCCAAAGCAACCCTCTTAGATAGAGGTGTCTATCCTCTCCCAGGAAAAAGGTCAGTAACTAACGCACTGCCTCCACTTCCCAAAATTAGGGGATTACAAATACTGGGCTCATGTACCCCATGTCCCATCATGCTCACCTATTCCCAACACATTCCTAAGTGTCACCTTCATTCACACCAATGCTTTACATGCCCCACAAACATGCAGATTTCATTTGTCAACTCTGACTCTGCAGTAGTTCAGGCAGGGCACGTCTGCCAGAATACTTGCCTACTAAGCATTTCCACTAATAAGCTGGGCCAGCTCCTGCTTTAGGACTTCAAGTCCACGAACTCCATATTCAATAGACTGTAATCGCAATTTCTCTCTCTTAAAAACCTGCCTTGGAGTACTTGAAAATGCTTACTGGTCACTGTGACCTGTGCACTTCCACAGTAATGCTGTTATTCCCAAATAAACGCCAGGATCCTTTGGAGAATTTCCAATTGTGATTTAGACTGGCGACCTAAGAAAACTGAAAACAAAACTTGAAGAGGTATTTATTCATACACCAATACTTGGAGTAACATTATCCATGAACAATAAAGGTGGAGGAGTGGAGACGTGACTGTTGAGGGCTGGACTGATCAACCTCGGCTTTCCCTGAGGCTCTTACGTATAGAGAAGAAACGTATCTCCATCTCTAAAGCCAAAATATGACTGGCAAGGCTGGTAATGGCCTGAAGCCAGGGCCTTGGGGGAACTGTGGCTTCAGATCCCAAGAACCCAACCAAGCTACCACATTTGGCTCTGGTTATCAGTCCCAGGACTGCTGTGTGCTTAGTTTATAACGCTCCTGAGATCCCTGTGCTGCCCTTGTGCAACACTGTTTAATTAGCTTCCTGCCGACTTAGTCCCATTGTATGGTACACTGCTTTCCCTATCCCGTTTCTTCCTAGAAATAGTAATAAACTAGTTTGGTTTAAGATATAGCTTGTACAAGACCTCCCAGCATCAGACTTTCTTATCTTCTCTATCTTCTATCGTTATCTTCTGATCTCATTGTCCTCTTTCTCAGGATCCTGTCACTCAAGAACAACCTCCTGGTCCTGTTCATGGCTCAGTAGCTAAAATCATCACAGCTCTTAGAGGAGCCGGGTTTGATACCCAATACCTATGTGGAAATCTAAAATGTGACACATGTGTGAACATTCTCAGAAACGGTGAGTTGCTACAAACATGACCTTAAGGTAAAGATACCACATGTTTTGAAGATACAAAAAGATCCCTTCTTTAGAACTTTCCTCACATGACTGAAAGCAGCAGCTTCAGCTGGCTGGTGACACATGCCTATGATGTCAACACCTGAGAACCAGAGGTAAGTTGATTCCAGGGCTGGTGACAGCCTGGTCTACACAGTAAGACCCTGTCTCAAAAGGGACAAAGGCAGGGGGTAGGGGATGTCAAGAAGCCATTTGTGGGAAATAAGCTGTCACATGTCAAAGCAATTGGGTTTACGCCCAGAAATAACAGTAGGCCTAATACACATGCACACCTGAAGATGGTAGCACCTCCTGTGGTGTAATGCTCTTGTACACTGTAAAGATTTGCCACTCATATTGGTTTAATAAAACACTGATTGGCCATTAGCCAGGCAGAAGTATAGGGGGGGGCAACCAGACTAGGAGAATTGTGAGAAGAGGAAAAGCGGAGACTTAGTAGTGAGCAAGATGCAGATGAAGCAAGATGAGACTAATTTACTGAGGGCTGGAGAGATGACTCAGCAGTTAAAAGTACTCGCTGCTCTTCCAGAGGACCTGGGTTCAATTCCCAGCACCTACATGGCAGCTTACAACACCCTCATTCATGCAGGCCAAACATCAATGCAAATAAAATAAAAAAGAAATAGAGAATGCTTCACTGAGAAAAGGTACCAAGGCCGTGGCTAAACATAGATAAGAATTAAGGGTTGCAGCTGGAGAGATAGCTCAGCGGTTAAGAACACTGCCTGTTCTGCCAGAGGACCAGGGTTCAGTTCCCAGCACCCACATGACAGCTCACAACTGTCTGCAGTCTATCTCCAAGTGATTTCACACCCTCATACAGAGACGTGTAGGCAAAACACAAACGCACATAAAATAAAATAAATCATTTAAAAAAAAAGAATTAAGGGTTAAGTTGTAAGATCTAGTTAGTAAGAAGCCTGAGCAAACAGTTTATAACCAATATAAGTCTCTGCATGTTTATTTGGGACTGAATGGCTACGGAACCGGGCAGAACAGAAACTTCCATCTACAAGCACCACTGACACCTAAAGAAATAAATACTGCCACAAATTCCCGCATCGCAGGATTGTTCCCTAAAAGTTCATTTGTGTTTCCCAAACAAACTTATTTGTTCTTCCTTCAAACACCTTTCCTTGTTCTCTGTTAAAGTCTTCTCTCACTTTAACTTATATTCCCCTAGGTCTAACCTGAGAAGGGCAGAGGATTTCCTATTGAGACATGCAGGATAAATTACTCTGCCTTAATGAGCATGTCTGACATATACTGCAACATGAATGAACCATAAGGAGTTTATGATAAGTAAAGAAAGCCAGACATATAATGATAATGTTCACAACTTCCTGTCTTTTTTTGTTTGTGACACAGTTTCTCTGGGTAGCTTTGGAGCCTGTCCTGAAATTTGCTCTGTAGACCAAGCTGGCCTCGAACTCACAAAAGATCCACCTGTCTCTGTCTTTGGAGTGTTGGGATTAAAGGCGTGTGCCACCCCCCCCCCATGTAATAGTCAATTCTTAAACAGAAGACAGAATTACAGTTAGTGCCAGGGAATGATGGGCAAGGGGAGGGCACTTATTGTTTGGTGGTCTCAGTGTTTCTAATGGGGTCCTGGGATGGACAGAGACGGTGGCTACACAACAGTGTAACTGCATTTAATACCACCAAGCTATATACCAAAAAGGTACAAAACATAGATATTAACACAATTTGTTTTTTGGGGGAGAGAGTCTAGAAACTTAGATGATTCACCTCTTAAATAAAATAAGAATATATGGGTAGTGGAGGATCAACATTTGAATTTCTTGGGTATTACTTTTATACTGCAAATAAGGCCTTACAAAATCTATCACTACTGAGAAGCAAATAAAGATGCAAAGCCTATCCTGCCATTACTGTAGAAGGGAATTAATGCCAAGTAAGAACATGAAATAATTTGAAGAGAATCAAGTGGTAGTTTTTCAGAATATATGAGAGCTGAAATAATCTTCATTAATATGTCCTATAACATTAATTCATATAATTCAATGTGAGAAGAGGAAAAACTTAACATTTTATAGATTTTGAAATATGAATGGTTAAGAGTAAATACTATAAACACATATTTGGCTATTTTAATCTATAACCTTAACAGTTTATGTGTGAAAATGGACCAGTTCTTTGGGCTGATTTTTATTTAGAGGTCTAAGTTATTCTTTCTATATAAGAAAATGGTTATAAGAAGAAGAATGACTGAATTAGTAAGGGAAACAAGACAGAAGCCAGGCACTGTGCTGGTTTTAATGAGAATGTCCCAAGGCTTCGATGGTTGAATATTCATCTGATCCCTTTTTGGTAGTGCTGTGTGGGTAGGTTTAGGACATGTGGCCTTGCTGTGGGAGAGCATTCAGGTTTCCAAGCCTGGAGCCATTCCCAGTGCAGTCCCGCTCTTGAAGCCTAAGATGTAGGCCCTCAGCTTTCCAGTCAGATGGTCTGGGCTGTGTATAAAGCTAGGTGAATATGAGCCAGAGAACAGGCCAACGAGCCGTATTTCTGCTTCAGTTCCTGCCTTGATGGACTGGGGCCTGGAAATACATGCAGAAACAAACATTTCCTGTTCTAGGCTGACCTTCGCTAGTGTGTTTTATCACAGCAGTCAAAAGCAAACTAACAAATATAAATTAAAGAATGCTGTATCTCAAACAAGCTACATAAAAATGAAGATGATGTATTTGGAAAGTGTTGAATGATCTGAAAGTGATTGTTGTGAACAGAGACAGGCATTAAATATATACTGGAATACTTTGAGTGAAATGCAATTAAAGATGCATATATGCAAAAATCTAACCCAATACAACTTTTAAGATATGAATGTTTGACTAAATATATGGAGTAAATATTCCGAGTATTAATTTTTGTATTTCTTCCCTTGTCTTGAAAGGGACCAATATTTCAAATTGTCTTTTATTTAGATAAATAAATTTCTTTTTATGGGAAAAATCAGCCACAGCAAGAATGTGTGCACATATTCAGTAATCTCTAATTCTAGTATGCTTGTGTATTATGAATAGTCAGAATGAAACTGAGCACTTAGGATCCAGGGAAGGGCTGGCAAAGAGAGAAAGCCATTGTCACTAGAGTATACCAGGCAACTCTGTGTCACTACTTCCCACACCAAGATCATTTACAAATTAAAAGCTCTGTTCCCTGGTAGGTTACTCAGAACCTTCTGCTGTGGGGAATCCTTGAGGCTTCATTAATATAGCTAGGATAGCACCTAGCCCAGCAGGGGGACCCACAGGATTTTCAGGAGCGAAAGAGACAAAAATGTCCAAGGAAGGCAAAGGAAAAGGCCCAATTTCTGCTTGCTTTGCTCAACACACAGAAAGGAATCAGACTGAGCACAGGGAGCAGGGGCCTATGTGAGAGCACAATACCAGCATGCCTTAAAAGATACCCTCTAGGGCAGACAAGTGGCTCAGTGGTTAAGAGCACTTGCTGATCTTGCAGAGGATCCTGGTTTAATTCCCAGAGTCCACATGGCAGCTCACAAGCATCTGTAAATCCAGTTCCAGGGGACCTGACATCCTGTGGAGCCTCTCCCGTAATAGTCATGGTGCACATATATACATGCAGGCAAAATACCTATAGGCACAATAAAACTAAAACCGAACTAAATAAACAAAAACACCATCTATACTAACTTTCTTCTCATTTGTTTGAAAATTAATTCAGGCCAAAAAATAAACAAATTAAAAAAAACATTAAAAATTCAATGGGCAACTAATTAACTATAATTTTATTTAAAAATCAAGTTTACTTGATCATTGGAGCACTGGACTGAGCTCCAAAGGTCCAAATAAGGAGCAGAAGGAAGGAGAACATGAGCAAGGAAGTCAGGACCGTGAGGGGTGCACCCACACACTGAGACGGTGGGGCTGATCTAACGGGAGCTCAACACAGCCAGCTGGACTGGGACTGAAAAAGCATGGGATAAAACTGGACTCTCTGAACATGGCGGACAATGAGGGCTGCTGAGAAGCCAAGGACAATGGTACTGGGTTTTGATCCTACTGCATGTACTGGCTTTGTGGGAGCCTAGCCTGTTTGGATGCTCACCTTCCTAGACCTGGATGGAGGGGGGAGGACCTTGGACTTCCCACAGGGCAGGGAACCCTGACTGCTCTATGGACTGGAGAGGGAGGGGGAGGGGAATGAGGGTTGGGGAGTGGGGGGAGGGGGGAAGGGAGGCGGGGAGGAGGAGGAAATTTTTAATAAAAAAAATCAAGTTTACTGTTAATATAAAAGTAAGGATAAACCTATTAAAAGGTAATGCTTCTTGCCAAGTTGTAAATAGGCACAGTCACAAGCCTGAAAGTAACTATCTGGCACACACTACTGATGCATCACAAACAAGCACAGAGAATGCTGTGGACAGCACAGATATAAACAATAATTCACTTTGAGCTCATTTCCCCTTGATTTGCCCTGACAAATATACTACACAAAAAACATATAGCCATGTTTCCCTAAGGGAATTTAAAAGATCTTAATGATTAAAAGAACTCTTTATTGGGCTGAGAAATTATAAGAAAAATGTCACACACACAGAACAGTGCAGCAAGGTAGCCACAGCTCACAGATTGCAGAGAAGTGATGTAATATGAATAGGATGACTTCATGTGCTCACTACACTGTTGGTAGTGCATCTTGTAAGCCATCCTAGCTTACAAAGCCCATTTCATTTCTACTTTATCTGTGGAAGTAACACGAGTAAGGGAGGGGCTGGAGGCTGAGTAGCAAAGTCGTACCATGTCTGCAGTGTTGTAGCTGCACTGCTGTATTTCCTGGGAATATAAACTCTGCCCAGACTCTGGATCTTGACACTCAGGTGCTTCATCTCCTGAGAGGCTAGCATGCAGCCACTGTGTGCCAACCTGGAGTTCCTGCCTGGAAGGTGCATGCCGGACCTCCTGAATGTGTGGTAGTGGGTGTAACTCCATGGCCCGGAGGTGATCTTGATAGAGTTCATATTCCTCATCTACAAGCATCTCTCTTTCCTCGCCCCCTCCCTCGAGTGGAGGGCTCAAAAATTCATGCATTTCCCAGGCTTCTGAGCTGGTGTCCATTTCTTTTTGTTGGAACTGCAAAGACTTTCCCATATCTAAAAATGGTTCATCCACAAGTTCTTCAAGATATGGCTCATCTCTAAATCCCTGTAAATAAAAGTTTATAAAAAAATGTTATGTTCCACTTGTCTTAAAGTTGCACGATACACCTCAACCTGAAAAAGTGTCAACCTAACTGCAGTAGAGTGCCTTACTCAATGCATGATCAAAGCCAGCTGAGCTTCTGCATCACCAAACAAGAAGAAGCTGCAGTTCATTCTGCATGGTTCAGAAATTAGACGTGGAGTAAAGAGGCAGAAGCCTGCACTGCCACGGTGAACTGACAGCTCCGTCATGTAATAACTAACCACCAAACAGTTCTCCATCATCAGGAGATATTTAGGCTAAAATGCTGTACCAAATACGCAACTCGTCCCTAACACAAAACGTAACTCATAAATGCAAAGTCACTTCATACTTAAGACAACAAAGACTGAAAAGCTCACTAAGACTAAGAAACTCAAAAGAAGTAAAAATGTTCAAAGCACATTCTCTTTTATTTCTGGGTAGGATTATTCTACTGCTAAGCTATACCTCTTACTCTTAAAAACAAAACAAAACAAACAGAAACGTTCTTAAATGAAATACAGCACTGTATGTCTCAAGTACTTCAAGTATAATTTGTTTTTAAAAAGCCAAAATACAGAAACAAGATTTTTCACCCACACTGAGAATATGATAAAGAGGAATGAATACAGTGTGATTTTTGCTGAGCCTCTGTCCTAACTCTAGTGAGCCTGTGGCTGTTGAGCACAGAGGCCTAATCCCCTGTGGATCAACACTCATTCCTACTGTAAGCCCCACCCATTAAGAACTACCTAGTGTAAATTCCTACAATCAACTGGCCCCTCTGTTTTCTTCTTATAACTCAACACCACATGGTGAAACTTCATGAAACACTGAAACACTGAACCAATACTGCAACGTGATTCAAAACAGACACAGGATATATCCGAAAATATTATGATTATAAAATTTTAACACAGTGTCTAAACTTTTAAAAGTGTGATGGACATTATGGGACTTCCTATCAGCCTGAGACACTATACATAATATGTCAGGAGTGTTACTAAAGTAAAACAAAAAAATACAGTAGACTTTAGGAATAGAAGGGGAAGCTTAACATATACTGTCTATGATTACAGTATCATACTTTGTAAAGTATTCAATTATGAAATTGCATGTTTGGCTACATTTTCTATGACATTTTACATGGATGTCTATTTTCAATGATATATTCTTTCTCCCAAATTTTAGGTTTATAATAATGCATAAAAATGTTTGTTTTTTTAAACATGTTTTTTATTAATTTTGGGGGAGAAAGGTGTGTGCCTCAGCACATGTGTGGAGGTCTGAGGACAACTTGTGGGTCTCACCTTTCTTTTTTCACCTTGTAGGCTCTAGGATTGAATTCAGGTCAGGTGTGGTGGTAAGTGCCACAACTGAGCCATTCTGCTAACCCCAGTGTTTGTTTTTTCAAAATGCCTTACATCTTCTGTCATTTAAATTCACAATGTAAGACTAAATTAAAAATTTAAGTTAAAAATACTAATTAAAGAAAAGGAAGCTGGTAGGGCATACCAGTGATTACAGAGGTGTGTGTGGGGGGGTGTATATTTAATTTGTAACTGTTTAGCTGAGTGAGTGGGGACAAGCTTGTGTCTTTATATTAACTTTAATATACAAAAATAATCACTGAAAAGGCAAATAAATTTAGCAAATACCTTGGGTGCTTCAAGGATTAAAGATGAATGTATGTCATCAACAGCTTCTGAAGGCTCATTGTTGTCTTCATTGTTGTTTGAATGTAAAATAAAACAACTTCCTTCCTTCTCACCTTCCTGAAAATAACAACCAATTTATGATCAAGAAAATTCTTCAGTTTTAACTTCTCTTCAATAGTTCTCATCCAGTGCAATCACTCAACAAAGTCTATGCAAATATGACCAAAGCAAAGTTTCACCCACAATCGAAAGTCTATGAACCTTAGGCCAAAACTGATCAACATTAAGTATTCTTTAAAGAAAAACTAGTCACCAAGGAAAAGGCTTTGCGGATAGAGCTATGACGTGATCTCTGTGCATAGGCTTAGGGACTTACCACTAACGTGCTAGTCATTAACAGACACTCTATGAGAGGGCGCCTTTCTGCTGAGGAAAGGGCTCAATCAGCACTAGTCACTCTATAGCTTCAAGTCCAGAATCTGACGCCAGAGCCCGTGTTCTCAATTACCACTCCATGTAATCCTCAACAAGGTGGGAGTGGGGTAAAAAGACCTCGTGGTGCACAGCCTTAGAACCACAAAGAAAGCTCTACAGCCAAGGGTTCCAGGTCAGTGTGGTCTGCCTAGTGCCAAAGACAGTGTAGTTTTTAAAGTCAATTCATTGTTTTTTGAATCCAGTATGTTTGAGATAAGCAAAAGAAAAGATAAATTGCTATCATGGATAACATATAACATTGTAGTTTTATGAGGATAGTTATTTTACGGCTAAATAGAATGAAAGTCATTCTGGCCTGCTACGTATCTACAGTCTTGTTGCTCCGGCCTGGCTTTGGCTCTTCCTTACATTCCTCCTGCCTCTGCACAGGCATATATCACCATGTCCTGTCTATCTGGAACACTCTACCATCCCAGTCACTTTCCCTTCATCGTGGCCTCTCTTCCCTAACTACCCTGGCAGCCTCAGACTCTGAGGAAGCTCCAGCTCATGGTGAGGCTGCGAACCCTCTCAAGCACTGCCCTCTCTCAGCTGGAAGCAGCACAGTAGGCACACTCTGTGGGAAGAGGTTCTGTGTTTTCACACTGCCTCAGCCTTCCTAAAGCTGCTGAAAGGGGAAGGTTAGTTACATGTAGTTAGGTTAAACTAGCAAATAGTTATCAGAGAAAATAGACAAAATATGTGCTACAACCTAAAAAGATGAAACATAAAAATATTAATGTTTTCCCTCCTTAATTTATCCAAAATCACCCTGAGTTCTTCATCTTACCATCTGTTGTCTATGGCAGTACATTTCACATATGAAAAAGTCAAGCACTTGGTTAGTCATATACTAGACTCAATTCTCAAAGATTTAAAGTAACTGACAGGTGTTAGATCCAGACATTCTGGTGTATAATATAGGAAGAACAAGACAATGTAATGATGGGAGGGTATGTGCATAGGAGGGCCCTGGGATCAATCGCCAGCAACAAAAATGTAGAAAGCAGTCCAAAGGCCACATAGCAGGTTCCTAATGCAAAAACATTTAGTGTAATACATTGTTCACTACACACACACACACACACACACACACACGAATATAACTGCCACTATCTACCAAACCAGTCATGTTTGCATGCTAATATATTTCACATATTAAAAGAATTTTAGAATCATGAAAAGACCTTAGTCTTGCTCATTCTATTAAACATTTTTATAAAAGACTCAAAGAATATTTGATTCTTTTTTGTCTACTTGATCACCATTTGTGAAATGAAATATTCAGCATCAGAAGCATGTAGGTGAGTCACTGGGAGGAAGACTGAAGAATTCAATGGTCTCCATCTCAACGTCTCCCAGTGGACTCTTATGAGGCTTATGAACCTTTGCGTCTGGAACGCACTGGGTTATTCAGTGAAAAGCTAGGATGGGCTTCCTGAGACTCATCTGACAACCTACCACAACCAACGATTGTTCAGATAGTGCACACAAACTAAACAGGAAATCATAACAGAACAATATTTCATAGTGCTGTAGCTAAGGAGGAACACGAGGCTTGAAACTGCCCCCCCAAGTTCATATTTTGACTCCACCCATTACTAATCATAAAACTTTAGAAAAGTTAGTCAACTCTGTGTCTCCACTGGCTCATTTGTAATAAGAATGACAAGAGGAGGACTCTAATATATATGATAGGCTTAAAATATGTGGTGATATATAGTAAATGCTCATTTAAAACTAGATGAAAATAATCAAGTATTTGTTTTACACTGAGAACCTCAATAACAAAATGTTAAGGAACCAACAGTGAAGAACAGTAACATGACATAGCACATCAAACCATAAGATGACGTCAAGACAGTCTGACTACAGAACAATTGTCAGTACTAGGGGTCACCAGACATGCTGATGACCGATGGTGACAGGAACATATAAAAATGTCTCCGCTGGGCAGTGGTGGCGCATGCTTTCAATCCCAGCACTTGGGAGGCAGAGGCAGGTGGATCTCTGTGAGGCTGAGGCCAGGCTGGTCTACAAGAGCTAGTTCCAGGACAGGCTCTAAAGCCACAGAGAAACCCTGACTCAAAAAAAAAAATCCCATATCAAAATAATAATAATAATAATAATATGGTTTTCAGTTCATTGTACCTAACATCATTCTAAAATAGTAGTTCCTAACCTATGGGCTGAGACCCATTTGGGGTCAAAGGACCCTTTCACATATCAGATATCTGGCATGTCAGATATTTACATTATGATTCATGACTTCAGCAAAACTACAGGTGTGGAGTAGCAACAAAATAATTGTGGTTGGTGGCGACAACATGCATACAATTGTGTTAAATGGCCACAGCATTGGGAAAGTTGAGAACCACTGCTCTAAAATTAAAATGCAAAATTATTTATTTTCATTTACATATAAGGAATATGAATAGAACTTAGGAGTCTGTTTTAGAAACCTGAAGGTACTATGGTAATACAAGTGGCAGAACCAAGGTTAGACATGCCAGCAGTGAGCAATAACTGTCACAGCTGATGACATTGCCTGTACTCCTGAAACTTGCTCGTGTTGTAAATCAAGGACATTAAGAAACTTGTGACTGCTTACTGCACAAGAGTTTGATTCCCAGAGCCCACATAGGGTGGCTTACAATCACCTCTAACTATAGCTCCAGAGATTCTGATGCCCTCTTCTGGCCTCTGTGGGCACTGCACTCAGATGCAAATGCGTACACCTGTACAGTTAAATAAAATAAATCTGAGTTTTAAAACAATTAAAAAGAAAAAGAAAAGAAACTTACATAGAATCAGAAACTGTGCATTTGTTTCCTGACTACCAAGACCCAAATAATCACACAGAAATTATATTAATTACAACACTGTTTGGCCAAAAACTTGGGCGTATTTCTAGCTAGCTCTTATATCTTAAATTAACCCATTTCTATTATTTTGTGGAGCAAAATTATTCAGGTCTGGGCGGCCGAAAATGAACAAGGAGTCTCTGTTTACACTTGCATGAGGTCACACATGTAGGAAGCAATGTGGGACAGATTTCGCATCCAGGTATATCTGCTTCCCCTAGTCCATGTTCTTTACTGCACTAGTTTAATATCCCTTATTATTCAAACCTTATAGTTGAGAAATATTTGTCTTCCAGATTCATGTTGCTAACACCTGCACTGTTATAACCTCTTATATTAACTGAGTTCAAAACTTACCACCAAAGGCTTACAGATGCCAAGGTGCACAGCACCTGGGGGCACAGCCTTCAACACTTCCACAGCCTCAGCAAGTGTGGCATTGTCCAAAGAGAACTCATTGACAGAGACAAGGCGATCTCCCGGTAAAAGTTCTCCACTTCTTTCTGCTACACCATCTGCTACCAAGGACCGAATCACAATCACTGAGCGTGTGGGATCCAAGGGGTCCTAGAAATTAAATGAAAGAAAGTCAGGTCCCTAAAAATAACTTTGCAGGTTTAAGAAAGCTTACCTTTAACAAATCTGATTTGTTATCTCATGGGGCCAGCACTCTGCTGACATTCTATAGAGGTTTAAATCAATGAAAACATTACTCTATATATCCTATAACATCAGCTTATATCAAATTGAAGATATAAACTTAACAGTTTCATCTGCGTGTCTGTGTGCTCAATACATGCAAATCTGTTCTCTAAACATTTGGTGACTGACCACAAGCGATCTGGGAACACTTAGGAAAGATTCTCTGATACTTTCTAGACATAATTATATTGTGGAACAAATCCATGGCTATCTATGACTCCCCTTGGTCTATATGTAGGCTCTAAGAGGAGAATAAAGTGGAAAAGAACACTCCATCATTCAACTGAGCAAATACGACATCCTTTGAGGAAGCCACTTAAGCTCAGGAGGAGGAGGAAGAGGAAGTGGAGGAGGAGGAGAGGCAGAGAGGCAGAGAGGCAGAGAGGGAGAGAGAGAGAGAGAGAGAGAGAGAGAGAGAGAGAGAGAGAGAGAGAGAGAGAGAGAGAGAGAGAGAGAGAGAGAGATCATTTAAAAAGTGTATTTAGGAGATGGAGAGATGATTCAGCAGCTAAGAGCACTTACTCCAAAATCACAGGAACAGGGTTTGAAGCACAGTACATACATAGCAAGTTGAATGTTGCTGAAAATACCTATAACCCCAATTCCAAGTGGGACAGACACACAAGGATTTCTGGGTTTTGCTGACTTAGTCCAAGATTCAAGGAAAGGCCTGTCTCAAAGAAAAAGGCAAGAGTAACAGAGGAGGGCACTTGGCACCTTCTTCTGGCTTCTGAAGCATGCACAGGTGTGTGTTCCTTACCTACACGCACACTCATATGACACAGACCCACACATACGAAAATGAATAAATCTTCAGTGGAAAAGTGCTTGCCTGGTATGAGAGTAGCTTCAACACAATCAGCAACACACACACATGTATGTGCTTACAGTATATATTTTAAAATAATCAAAATTATGACAAAGCTTAATGGCCTTATAGGAATGATTCCAATATACATGAAGGGAATTCATGAAGAAACCAACATGAAGGTTTCTCATCCAGTGGGAGAAGCCTGTACTCCTTTATTTGAGCACAGAAGATAGCAGACTTACCAATGCTTCTGCCTGAGGAAATACCACTCTGTAGAACTATTAATCTGGAACTCAAAGTAATCCTCCTGCCTCAGTTCACTGATTGCTATGATTACAGGTGTGAGTCACCATACCAAGCTTACTGTGAATTTGACAGATGACAGAAAGTGATGCTGAGAAAGCTAAGGAAACTGGAGACCACTGGCTGCTGTTTAGGGGTAGCGCCAGACTTCAGCCAAGCAGTCCTTCCTTCTGCCCACCAGTCTCTGCTGTTTCCTCTGTATTGTGATAACTGTCAGGAAGAACTCTGAATGAAGGAATGCCACCCTGCTGATATCCTACTGCCCAGTGGAGCTCTGTTAGTCTTGCTGGAGTGGGTATATGATGTGGCACTGTTGCCAAGCCTTCTTTATTACCCAGCCATAGAATATTTGCATTTACCATTCTACCAGGTCACAACAGCAGAACAGGATTCTACTGCTGATGCTGCTACTGGATTCTTTCTGAGAGAAGAAGGAGAAGGGGACCACCCGATATTGTGGTACAACTGTAACCCTGAACTAACAGAGAAAAATCTGCCAGAACGCAGGCTGAATCTGAGGAGTGCTACTAGAGCTTTTGAAGATTTCTGGTTATTTTCCACATCTTGGTGCTTTAGACAGTAACATCCTTTTCAAAGCACTGAATGGAATTATAACAAAGTACACACATTGACATCAACAAAGGTTACATAGCTAAATCTTTAAACAACGTTTTCAAACACAATCTTACTGTTTTGTTCCTCAACTGACCTTGCCTGTCTCAAGTGGCCAGACCCATGGAATAATCTAGTATTTAATACTACATATTCAGCAAGAGAACTAAAATAAAAAAAAAAACAAAAACCAAGGGATTTTTGAGTAAGGTATGTAATGTTAAATTATACTTACACTGATAATTTCAAGTAGAGGGAGCTATTGTATAGGAAGAGAGCAGAGGTACTCAGAAAACCTGGTGTATCCACAGGCAATTAAAGCAGCAACAGGGGAGAGTTGTCCACTTTGCCACCAGCTACCATGAATCACAACGTGCTTTCATTTTGAAATATGAAACCATTACATTTTAAGTTTGACACACTAATAAATAAGCTATACAATTATGTCCTTCATTTGGGAAGTCAGTTTTTGATAAAAGGCTTTTTTATTGGGAGGGGAGGGGAACTACCTAGAATGCACAGAAGGAAGCTGCCGTAGCTTCCTATTAATGATCACTAAACACTACTGGAAAGACTTTAACAGGAAAATATACAAAAAGTAAATGATTTTTCTAAGTTCGTGTGGATACTCGATATCATTTCATATAATGCTGAATCTGAAACTTGAAAAGGTGAATGAGTATGATCCAACTGTAACTGACAGATACAATTTTTAGAAAGACTATCATTATATAATAAGGAAGATTCTTTGGGAAACCATTAAAATAGTTCTGCTATGAAAAGATAATGAGTTTTATTTATTACAGAAAAGTCACATGAGTACTTGTTTACATGGAACATTGTCTTCTTTAGAACACAAATGAGGGCCAGGTGCACTTGCTTAACTAAAATGTATTCAGGCTTGGTGTCCTAGTTATTCAAAATATCTTACCCCTTTTTCCTGGAGGTCAGAATCCAAAAATTGTTCCTTTGTGTCTTATAGAAATATTAAGTGAATGTGCACACATACACATGCATGCACACATGCACGATACACACCACGGTGATCATCATGTCTAATTGCCACTGTGCTTCTAGGGATGATGTTCCTTACTGTGTGGTTTCCCACATCCTATCATGAGCAGGTGATTTCTGCATGACCATCAAGGCAGCAGCTTCTCTTGCCTACTGGGATGGCTGCATTGTGAGGCTTTATTGCATAAAAAGTGCATCATCCTGACCCAAGCTGCTTCTCTACGTGTCCTGAAAACAGTTCATAATATCATAAAGGCTCTATATCAAACCACGTAAAGATGGTTAAAAATATTTCTCAAGATTGCCACTGAAACGGAGGACCCTGCAAGCATACTTTAACATCCTTATCATCACCTTTCACCATTGTGTGTGTGTGTGTGTGTGTGTGTGTGTGTGTGTGTGTGTGTAAATGCCACGGCACCGCAGACAACTTGCTGGAGTTGGTTCCTCCTCCTCGGGTCATCATGCTGAGCAGCATGTGCCTTTACCCACTGGTCATCTCTCATGTCTCCCCTTTTGATAAAGAAAACTGTGAGATGTTGCCTTAGAGCAAACAGCCAAGAGAGGGCACTAAAGGCCAACCACAGAGTGCAAGAAACACTTGTCTTGGTTAGGAGATCTCTCCTCTTTATTCAAAACTGTTGTGCCATTATAACTTCTATAGCATGTGGCCCCTATGTTTATTTTAATTCAACCATTTATGGAAAGGATGTTTCAGGAGAGTATTAAAGCTTTTTAAAAGACAGGACTCCTGTAATCAACTAAGAACAGCAGATGCTTGGGGCACACCACACAAAGCCAGCAGAGGAGTGTGCATTCCACACTCACCACTCAGCTAAGCAGCACTGGTTGACCAGCAGTGTCTCACAAGCCAATTAAGCCACATGCGTGAAGAAAGGTCATTGAGGAAATTTTAAAACTCTTCAGGTGATGCTAGGGTTTGTCATTTATTATAAATACTGGATTTTGCAATGCTTGGGAAATCCAACCCTGACTGGTAACAGCACATGTGCAAGCATGCACTTGCTCTCCTGCCCTTGTCCTAAGATACACTTCACAAGTCAACCTATTATCTTCTGTCTCTTCTCTCAGCTCACCTTTCTCCTCTGCTACCCCACTGTCCTGTTTAGCCTCACACTATTTCCTGCCTGGATAGATGTTACCATCCGACACCATGCCTACAGTCTCTACTTTTGTCCTTATCTGAACATTTTCTATAGAAAGAATGGAACCTTAAAAAATAAAAATGTCTGTAAAAGTCAGAGGTCAGGAAGGACCAGACTTTTAGCAAGAATTCTAATTGGTGTTAATAATAAAAAATCGGTGTTAGATAACAGGGTAAATGCTAAAAGATCAGAGAAGTAAAAAAGCAAGACCCACTAACCTCTACCAAATCCTCAGACCAAAGGGAGCAAGAGCCTCTCTCCATGAATTCTCAGACTAAATTAAATGCCTTGAAATCCTATCTCCTCCCACCTTATATTCCTCTCTCCACCCAGCTATATTCCTTCCTGTTTCCACCTCCCTAGTGATGGGATTAAAGGCCTGTGACTCCTAAATACTGGGATTAATGTGAACCAATACCCCTTGGCTCCAGTTCTCTTTGAGACTGGATCATTCCAGTGTAGCCCAGAGTGGCCTTGAACTCAGAGATCTACCTGCCTCCCAAATGCTGGGATCAAAGGGCAGGCCTCCACTGCCTGGCCTCTATGGCTAACTAGTGGCAGTGGCTCCCTCCACACTGTGATCCTCAGACAACTGTATTTGTTGGAGCACAAACAACACATCACCACCCTGACTGAACCAATGTCTTTTGCACTCGTGGGCTCACAGACAAGACAAAACCAGTTACCATTAAAGCACAGAGAAAGGAGGGGCTCACATGCTCCCACTCACACCAAAGAAACTACGACTGCTGATGACTTCTAGGAAGAAAAGCCAGTTTTCTTTAAAGGTAAGGATGCCAGGGGATAGCCACACACTCATTAGTATGGGCAGCACAAGTGAACTTGATACATCATTAAAAAGAAAAACTGAGGCAATAAATACATAGGTAGAAAGGATCTAGGAGAAATTAGGGGTAAGGCTGTGGGGTAAATATGACCAAAACATACTGTATGAATTT